AGTGGGGATCCCTCACTGCCCCCCTCTCCTCCTCCTCCTCCAGCAGAGGGCGGAGAGAGGGAACGTGACGGCCAGGTGGGGAGGGGACCAGCGCCCCCACCCCCAATTCCCTAGGGCCAACTTGTAGCCCCCGGCGAAATTAGCCTGTCTTTTCCAGACGGAGAACAGGGCTCCTTCTCTTCGATCCCTCAGGATCTTGTCCCAAAGCTAGAGCAGAGAAAGAAAAGAAAATCCACAGGACTTGGTTGCTGCAAGTAGGGGTGGAAATTGGATTAGGTCCATTTTTCCTGCTACCCAGGGCTTCCCTGGGCTTCCCCGGGTGGCTCAGACGGTAAAGAATCCGCCCGCAGTGCAGGAGACCCGGGTTTGCCGCCTCGGTGGGGAAGATCCCCTGGAGCGGGAATGGCTACCCACTCCAGTACTCTTGTCTGGAGAATTCCATGGACAGAACATCCTGGCGGGCTACAGTCCATGGGGTCGCAAAGAGTAGGACATGACTGAGCGACTAACACTAGGGCTTCCCTGGTGGTTCAGCGGTAAAGAATCAGCCTTCCAGTGCAGGAGAGGCAAGTTCAATTCCTGGGTCGGAAAGATCCCCTGGAGAAGGAAATTGCAACCCACTCCAGTATTCTTGCCTGGGAAACCCCACGGACAGAGGGCTAAAAGGGGTTGCAAAGAGTCCGACCAAACTTAGCGACTAAACAGCAACAATTCCTGCTAAACAACAACGATTCCTGCTAGCCACCCACTCTGCCAGCCCCACTAAGCACTTGGTGTAACCAAGGGACCCCATTATCCCCTTTCACCTGCTTCAGGGTGAAGGTGCCCCAGTAAGGTAAGTGTGCCACAGTTTGTGTCTGTGGATGGATGGGGCGGAGGAAACTTAGTTAATGCCTCAAACAAAGCTGAATGTAGGGAGAGCTGTTCCCAAGCAGGCTTCCAGAAGGAAGGGAATTGAAGCAAAATGGACAGGAGCATATCTTTTAGAGGGGCTGCAGTCCAGGAGAGGCTCTCCTGAGTGGTCTCCTGCCACCTTGTTTGCCCCCTCCTGCAGAGTTAGGTGTCCTGGAATTGGCCTGGGGGCCTGACCCCTCAGCACCTGCACCATGGCCACGCTGAGCGTCAAGCCCAGCCCACGCTTCCGGTTGCCAGATTGGCAAACCAACAGCTACCTGTTGTCCACCAACGCCGAGCGCCAGCGAGATGCCTCACACCAAATCTGCCAGGAGGCCCGGGTCCTCCGCAACGAGACCAACAACCAGGTTAGGGGTCCGGAGCCCAGCTGGGTGGCAAAGGGGTAGCTCCCAGCCCCCGACAGCCTCTTTATCTGTGTCTGTCTCTTCCAGACCATTTGGGATGAGCATGATAATAGGACGCGGCTGGCAGAGAGGATCGATACTGTCAACCGATGGAAGGAGATGCTGGACAAGTGTCTGACGGATTTAGATGCTGAGATCGACGCCCTGGAACAGGCAGGGAGCCAGGGCAGGGTGCCAGGAGACCCTGCTCAAGGACGACCTCCTCTCCTTCCCCTCTCTCGGGTCTGGGTATTTGGTGGCTTGTCCATCTGAGTCACTCACTGGCCCCTTGGCTAAAGTGGCGATGAGAGCTGCTTCCCAGCGGGATGGCCCCACCAGTCCCCTGTGCCCCCTCTCTTCTAGATGAAAGAGTCAGCGGAGCAAAACCTGCAGGCCAAGAACCTGCCTCTGGATGTGGCAATTGAATGCCTGACCCTGCGGGAGAGTCGGCGGGACATTGATGTGGTGAAGGACCCCGTGGAGGAGGAGCTACATAAAGAGGTGGAGGTCATTGAGGCCACCAAGAAGGCCTTGCAACAGAAGATCAGCCAGGCCTTTGAGAAGCTCTTGTAAGAGAAAGACACGGCATTCTCATGTTCCCCTGCCCTGGGAGGCTGTTTTCAACTCAGAACCTGTGTATCATGGGTGACTAGTCACTGGTTCTCAGGCTGCCTTCTGCCCCTGCTGTGCCCACGGCAGAAACCACTCACTCACTGATCGTAGCGCTTTTTTGCACCACCTGGACATGGTCTCAGAATACTTCTCGTGACACTGCTCTCGGCAGCCGTTATCTATTGACTGGAAACATGAGGCATGAGTCCACTTGCCATCATCCCTGACTTTCTGGGCCCGTGAGCCATGTGGGTGTAGTATTTGAGTGTGCCCTGTGGCTGTGTACAAGCATTTGGGTGCCCTAATTTTGTCTGTAGGGGGATCATCCAGCTGTGCCTGTCTTTATCTCAATTGCAGCAGCAGCTCCTCTGTCACCTCAGCTTTCCCATCCCTCCCTGTCCCTTCAGTACCAGGGTGGGGGGCTGTGTTCCGGGGCTGCCTTGGAGGGATGGTTCACTGATCCAGTCTCTTCCGCCCCCCAGCCTCCTGCAGGAAGCCCGACAGCAGCTCAACTCTGACCATCGTGGCAAAATGGAGACCCTGGACATTGACAGAGGCTGCCTCTCTCTCAACCTCACGTCCCCGAACATCTCTCTGAAGATCAATCCCACACGTGTCCCCAGCGGGTAAGAAGGACGTTTCACTCCCTCTCCCTTCCTCCCCGCAGAGGCCATGCTCTCACTATTCCCTGCCGCCTGCAGCTCCACCACACTCCAGCAGTGGGATGACTTCAGTCGGTTCAACAAGGACCGGGGAGAGGCTGAGATGAAAAGGGCCATCGAGCTGAGGGAGGCCATCGCCCTCACTATTGCCGAGGTGAGCCTCCCCACCACCACCACGATCCTCCATGGCTAAGAGCTGGCCCCAGCGGGCACTCACAAGCCCTTGTCTCTTGGTCCCTGTCTTATGGCATCCCTCCCCACACCTGAGCGACACCCTCAGGTGGCCAGAGCATATTCCCTGCCTCCTTCCTGTCCTCAGACCAACAACGAACTGGAAGCCCAGAGGGTTGCCACAGAATTCGCCTTCAGGAAGCGGCTGAGGGAGATGGAGAAACTGTACAGTGAGCTCAAGTGGCAAGAGAAGAATGTGAGCCTTGTCCGCGTGGTCTCCTGGGGCACGGATTTCCGGCCGTGAGATGAGCCCTGCCAGGAAGCCCTGGACTGGGTGACCAGGTGGAGATGGGGCGCTCTGTCCCCGCAGACCTTGGAGGAGATTGCCGAGCTGCAGGAGGACATCCGGCACCTGGAGGAGGACCTGCGCAGAAAGTTACAGAACCTGAAGCTGTGCCACACCCGGCTAGAGGCCAGGACCTACCGGCCCAATGTGGAACTCTGCAGGGACCAGGTTCGAGGGCAGCCCGGAGGGGCCCCCTGCTGAGGTTCCTCGGGATGACTCACCCCCACCCCCTGGTGGAGCAGGGGTGCTAGCGTACCGCACCCCCCCTCACCCCCAGGCCCGGGGGCAGAAGGCTAGTATGGCTGACCTGGGACTCCCAACCTGCCCCTCTGCCTCCAGGCACAGTACGGCCTCACCGACGAGGTTCACCAGTTGGAGGCAACCATTGCCACCCTGAAGCAGAAGCTGGCGCAGGCACAGTAGGTCTGGGGAGCGGGCAGGAGGGGCGGGGAGATACCGCCCACCATCGGGGCCCCTGGCTGCCTGCCGGCTTCCCTGCTGGCTTCCTGGCTCAAGGCTGCTGAGCTCAGTCAGCCCTGAGTTCTCAGCCTCACACTGGGGGCAGTGGGCTGTTAATCCCTGCTCCCCAGGGACGCTCTGGATGCCCTGTACAAGCATCTGGCCCAGCTGCAGGCTGACATCGCCTGCAAGGCCAACTCCATGCTGTTGGACACCAAGTGCATGGACACCCGTCGGAAGCTGACCGTGCCTGCCGAGAAGTTTGTGCCCGAGGTGGACACCTTCACCCGCACCACAAACCGCACCCTGAGTCCACTCAAAACCTGCCAGCTAGAGCTGGCCTAGGCAGGGGGCTGAGGGAGGAGAGGAAGGCTGGTTGAAAATGGAAGGGGATGGGGAGCACGGAGAGAGTGAATCTAATAAAGGTCGGGGTTCTCAGTCCAGAGGGTTCTCTGCTCCCCCTGCACGTAGCCCGCGGGGGAGAGGGCTCTTGACCCTCCTGTGCGTGGAGGAGCAAAGATGGGAAACACCATCTCTAAAGCCAGCACCCTTGGACTCCAGCAGTGTGACCTCTAACCAGCTCTGCCCCCCTCCATACCTAGAGGAGGCCCAGAGGGGGCTAGGGTGACGGGGAGGGCTTAGAGGTGGGTACCCAGGCCTGAGTAGGGGCCACCAGCAGACAGCTGGCCGACCATGCGGGGGGGGGGGGGGCAGTGACCCAAAGGTCTGGCTCAGTGCCCAGCTCTCCAGGACCCTTCGGTGGCCGCCCAGCCGGCTGTGACACCCTTTCCAACTCCGGGGAAAAGTGAAACTGTCAGTTGCTCAGCCGTGTCCGACTCTGCAACCGCATGAATTGTAGCCCACCAGGCTCCTCTGTTAAGTTGTTCCCAGAAAGCACCTTCTCTGGAGATGGGAATGGCAATCCACTTCAGTATTCTTGCCAGGAGAATCCCTTGGACAGAGGAGCCTGGCAGGCTACAGTTCATGGAGTCAAAGATTCGGACACGACTGAGCGACTAACACACACACACACACACACACACACGACTGAGCGACTAACACACACACACACACACACACGACTGAGCGACTAACACACACACACACACTCTCTCTCCTCTGTCCATGGAATTCTCCAGGCAAGAATACTGGCGTGGGTTACCATTTCCTTCTCCAGGGGATCTTCCCGATCAGATGGTAAAGAATGCAGATGGATTCTTTACGATCTGAGGCAGCAGGGAAGCCCTTACAAGTCGAGGAAATGCGCGCTAAAGACAGACTGCTACTGCTAAGACAGAGGCCGGGCGCTATCTGACCAGGGCTGCGGGACCGCCCCTGGTCTCCCGCGGGGGCGACGCGACTCCGGGCCGCGGGGCGGCGCTGTGGGTCCGGGCACGCCGCGCAGTGGGGGCGCGCGCCCACGGCGCCGGAAGTGGAGGCGAGTCCGCGCGGATGGCGGCGGCGGCGGCGGCAGCTATGACGGCGGCGGGCTGCGGAGGGGCTGGGGCGGCTCGCTCCCTCTCCCGCTTCCGAGGCTGCCTGGCGGGCGCACTGCTCGGGGACTGCGTGGGCGCCGTCTACGAGGCGCGCGACACCGTCGACCTGACGTCAGTCCTGCGTCAGGTCCAGGATTTGGAGCCGGACCCCGGCTCGCCCGGGAGCGCGCGGACAGGTGGGCGGGGCCGGGCGCCGCGGGCATCGGGGGCTCGGCGAGGGACTCGGACGGGGAGGGGACCGCGGCCGGAGGGGCCCGATCTGCACGACGCGGGGATACCTCGGACTCAACGTGTCCAGGATCCGAGCCCCGTGTTCACATATCTCTCCCCGAACGTTCGCCGTCTCGGGGCACGGCTACACAGTCCTCTCAGCCGTGCACGCCGCGCCTAGATTGCGCCTACTCCATTACTTAACACCTCTGCCAGTTTCACCCGTTTTACCGTAGTCTCTCAGAACATTGCGTCACCAGTCCGTCTCCACGCAGCTGGAGTGCACTTCTGAGAACAGATCTTATGGAGGCCTCCCCGCGCCTGAATCTCTGCAGTAGTTGTCCATTACCCTTAGGACAGAGCCACACTCCTTAACGTACCCTACTTAGCTTGCCCTCGCCTGCGGTTCCGGTTCCATCTTATAGCGCCCTTGGCATTGCTCAGTAGAAGATTGAACCCGGGAAGTTATATTTCAGTGGGTTTAGGAGGGAATGGAAAAGGAGTCCTCAAGACTTGGTCCCTCTCCTGATTCAGATCTGCGTTCTTTTGGGTGGGCTTCAGTCTGGCAGACCCTTCCCATGGGGTAGCCCTCAGCAGCTCCTAGCTCAGCGTCTCCAGCAGAGGAAGTTTCTCTTTGCAGAAGCCCCAGCAGAAGTCTCTGATGGTCTCACTGGCCTGGCTTAGGTCACCCGTTCATCCCTGAACCAGGGCACGGGATGTGCTTTTGACTGGGCTGGAGGTGGCATTGGCTCCGTCTCCTATCATCTGGGCTGGGAGTAGGAGAGGAGTGGTTCCTTGGGGGGAAACTGGGTGCCAGGGACCAGTTGAATGGAGACCAGGTTCTGCATCACAGAGGGAGAGGTTGAGGAGACAAAGGAAAGGCAAGGTGCCCCCGGAACTAGGCTGGGGTAGACTGCCGAAGAGACTCAGTCCCTCTGAGGGGAGACTAGAGAGTGTGGCTGCAGGTGGAAGCCTGTAGGCCTCTCCTGCTGGTAAAGTAGAGAGTGGGGGCCTCCCGAGAGTGAACGGGAAAGAGAGGGCAAGGTTGGGGCTTGGGATACACAGAGCAGGGTGGGGCTGGGGGCTGAGGGCAGGTGTCGGATGTGAGGAATAAGAAGGGGTTCATTAGGAAGTGTGCTTTGCTCTCTACAGCTGTGTCTTCAGATAAATGCAGGTCCTTGTCCCTAGCTGGCTTATAGCCTGAGAAGCTACCAAAACCAGTGATGTGTGTTCCAAGTGCCAGGGCAGAAGACCCGGGCACCTAGAGGAAGGAGAGGAGACGGGTGGAGGGAGATGAGCAGCCCCAGCTGGGAAGGACGTGACCCAGGCTCCAGGACTGGTTCTGAGGAGGTGGAAGGGAAGAGCGGGATATAATATGGGTAAGGAAGGAAAGGCTTCAGATGGCCATGGCAGTGAATTTGGACCTCATCCTGAAGGCGAGAGACAGCCATCTGAGCAGGAGAGTGTGATGAGGAAAGGGATGCTCTCCTCTTAGGAAGAATTTTCTGGCGGCACATATAGGCCAGGTTGGAGGGTAGGGAAGACACGGGAGATGGCAAATCAGCAGGACATGTGACCAACTCAGATTATGGAACTGCGGAAAATCCCAGGGGTGAGAGCCCAGGATGGGATGGAGAGTGAGAGGCTGACTTGAGGCTTTCTGGAAGTAGTAGATAAAAAGCACGAGCAGCAGGCTGAACCGCCACCCTTGAGCCCTGCAGCTCCATCTCTGTCCCCCACCCTATCCCTGCAGAAGCATTGTGCTACACAGATGACACAGCCATGGCCAGGGCGCTGGTGCAGTCCCTGCTGGCCAAGGAGGCCTTCGACGAGGTGGACATGGCTCACAGGTGAGGGCAGCGGTCCCAGGGTGAGGCCAATCAGGTGGGCGGAGTTATCGCACCCCTCGACCAGCGCAGCGATGTCCATGCATGCCAGGACACCCTCCCCCAGACCGCTCGGCAGAACACCGTCTGTTGGGCCACTGCAGCTTCCCAAACTGGAAGTGACAGCTCCAGGATTCCTCTTTTCCCAAACCAGCCAGGTTTCTTCTCTCCCAGCCATGGCAGGCATCTCTTAAATTGTGATCCTGTGGCCTTCTCGCCCCTAGGTTTGCTCAGGAGTACAAGAAGGACCCTGACCGGGGTTACGGTGCTGGAGTGATCACTGTCTTCAGGAAGCTCCTAAGCCCCAAATGCCGGGATGTCTTTGAGCCTGCCCGCGCCCAGTTTAATGGCAAAGGTTCCTATGGCAACGGGGGTGCCATGCGGGTGGCCGGCATCTCCCTAGCCTATAGCAGCGTCCAGGATGTACAGAAGGTATAGTCCGGGCAGGTTGGCTCCTGGGCCCTCTCATCCCTCCCTCCTCTGCAGCCTGGGTGCTGTGACCAGAGGTCTTCGCCTCCTTTGCCTTTGCCCTAGTTTGCCCGGCTCTCGGCTCAGCTGACACACGCCTCCTCCCTCGGTTACAACGGTGCCATCCTGCAGGCCCTGGCTGTGCATCTAGCCTTGCAGGGTGAGTCGTCCAGTGAGCACTTCCTTGGACAGCTCCTGGGCCACATGGAAGAGCTGGAGAGTGATGCCCAGGCCGTGCTGGATGCCCGGGAGTGAGTAGGCGGGCTGAGGGCGCGTGTCTTGTGCATGTGTATGCTGGTGGGATGACGTTGCCTCAAGTGGAAACCTTTTTTAAAATATGTATTTGTTAAATATGTATTACTACTTATTTAATACATGTCACTACTTATTTAATACATATTTAATGAATACAGATGTTTCTATTAAGTATTAACTTAATATTAAGTATTATTAATTTGAATATTAATGTTAATATTATATGCGCCAGGTCTTAGTGGCAGCATGAGGGATCTTCGATCTTCCTCGCAGCGTGCGGGATCTTTAGTTGCAGCACCTGAACTCTTAGTTAACGGCATGTGGGATCTAGTTCCCTGACCAAGGATTGAACCCAGGCCCCCTGCATTGGGAGTGTGGAATCTTAGCCACTGGACCACCTGGGAAGTCTTTGAAACCTTCCTTCTTTAATTGCAGGTCCTAAGGAGGGGTGGGAGGAGCCCTTTGCCTGGGCTGTGCTTCAGGGCTCTCTGGGTCCCAGAGAACAAACCAGCCGGCCCCACCCCCACCCCAGCCCTTCCCGCTTCTTGCCCTGGCATCTGTGCCTGGGTGTCAGCCTGACCACATCCCTGCCCCACCCTCCCCATCCTGCCGGCTGTCCCCTGCCGGCTCCGACCTCCCTGCAACCTCGCCCCCATCCACAGGTTGGGCATGGAGGAGCATCCGTACTCCAGCCGACTGAAGAAGATCGGGGAGCTTCTAGACCAGGACTCAGTGACCAGAGAGGAGGTGGTGTCCCAGCTAGGTGGGTATCCCCCTGCCCCCGACCTGTCACCCTTCAGGGTTAGTCCTGGGCTCGTGGATGGGATAGGAGGTGTGCCTGGAGTCACTCCTGCCACCAATACACTTTTGCTGGGGCTGCCGTAACAGGAGCACCATACTCTGGAGGGTCCTTGGCAGGCTGTGGGCACAGCACCTTCTTCTCTAGGGCAATAGTACCCTCAACCTGCAACATCCAGAAATGGCGGCGGGCCGCTGGTTGTTTTTACGGCTAATGGTGATAACTGATGTTTATTCATACAGCATTTTTATTGTGTTTTGGGCACTGTGCAGAGTGCTTTATCTCTAGGATTTAATTTCACCCTCACACACCAGCCCTGCTCAAGTTCCTAACTTTATTCCTTCTCTGCACATGGAGCTAAAGCCAAGATACAGGAAGCACACAGTCAATAGGTGGGCAAGCCGAGATTTAAACCCAGGCTGTGATCTTACTCCCAGCCCAACTTGAAGCCGAGAGGGTTGACTTGTGACAAGTGGCAGGAGACTTGGGGACACCATGGGGCCCAGGAGTAGGGGTCAAGTTCCCATATTGTGGCCTCCCCACAGGGAATGGCATTGCCGCCTTTGAATCTGTGCCCACCGCCATCTATTGCTTCCTGCGCTGCATGGATCCCGACCCCGAGATCCCCTCTGCCTTCAACAGCCTCCAAAGGACTCTCATCTACTCCATCTCGCTCGGTGGGGACACGGACACCATTGCCACCATGGCCGGGGCCATCGCTGGCGCCTACTATGGCATGGAACAGGTGCCCGAGAGCTGGCAGCAAAGCTGTGAAGGCTACGAGGAGACTGACGTCCTGGCCCAGAGCCTGCACCGGGTCTTCCAGAAGCATCTGTGATGGCCTCAGCTGCTAAGGCCCTGGCACATGCAGCAAGACCAGCTACAACTCGCATTGGAAACCCTGGGCGTCCTCAGGCTCGGCTCCCTGCTTCAGTCTTCCTGCCGCGTGGGCAGAGTGCACCTTGGGGCAAGAGTCTATTCTGGGGAGGGACGGGTGCCTTCTGGTGCTGGGTTCCTGCCTTCTGCAGAGCCTCGGTGCTCCTGGCTCCTCAGTCAGACATGAGGGACCAGGGCAGGTTTTATTTTGGAGCAGTATTTGTGGCATTTTCCTTGATTATCTAGGACATGGGATTTGGGGAGGTGGAAATGATCTGCAGCATCATTTCTCCTTATTGGGATTTAGCCAGTTTGCCAGAAGCCTGTCTTTGGGCCCTTAGTGCCCAGTTTATACGGATCAGGAGGTGGGCACGTGGATCTAGCCAGTTGAGATGCACACCCGACCCTTGGCGTCATGGGTCTTGTGAACAGCTTCCAGAGAGAATCACAGAGCAATAAACAGTTCTTGGTGAGTCCCACCGCTGTTTCTTGTGTTTCTCTTCCACAGTGGATGAGTTCTTCCCCTATCTTGACCTTTTGTGCCTAGCAGTTCTCTGAGCCTCACTCATAGGAGCCAGGGACCCGCCTGCTGGGTGGTGGAGGCAAATTCCTCCAGTTGTCCAGCCAGGAAGAGAGCAGGCATAGTTTGGTGCTTTCTCAGAGTGGCCCAGGCAGTGGGCAGGAAGAAGTCAGATATTCCTACTCTTAGACTCAGAACCTACTCAGGTTCTCTGACTTAATAGGTTGCCCCCACATAGGACCCAGGTACCGCTGGGCCAGGAACCAGAACCCTGTAGGAGGGTGTAAAGGAACTTTGGGTCACCAGATTGCTGACGTTTAGGTAAGGGGGGGCCTTACTCTGCATCTTGGGCCTCCGTCAAGGGCCTTGGCCTGCTGGGAAGGTCTACACACCATCCATTTTGAAGAAAGGAAAATGGAAATGAAGAGGGCATCTCACCTTAAACTTGAGGGTAGGAGATCTGTGCTCAGCCCTGCAGCTAGCCTGAGGTTTTAGGATTGTTGGGCAGGTCTGCTTTCAGTCAGGACAGGGTCCCTCCAGGCCAGGGAAAACCCCAGGACTTTTCAGGGCCTTGACTGGCCTCAGGTCTGCGGTCCAGATCCCCAGCATGTGGCAGGCTGTGGAGCAGGTGCTCTCTCCTAGGACCGCTCCCCAAGCCCTGCCTTCCGCCTTGGGCCTGGCACCAGCCCCGCCCACAGGAGCAGCGATCCCTAATTTCATTCATTCAGGTGTTGAAACTTGGCCCTTGGGATCCTGAGCCAGCAGTCATGCTCCACTACCCCTAAGCACTTGCAGGAATGTTCCAGGGAAGCTTGACCCATCTCCCCCAGCTCCAGCCACTGCCTTAGTTTGGTTTCTTTTTTTTTTTTTTTTTCCCATTTATTTTTATTAGTTGGAGGCTAATTATTTTACAGTATTGTAGTGGTTTTTGCCATACATTGACATGAATCAGCCATGGATTTACATGTATTCCCCATCCCGATCCCCCCTCTCACCTCCCTCCCCACCCCAGTTTGGTTTCTTAAAATGCCTCCTGGCATTTACTTGGTGCAGAGCCCAGGCAGCTTTGGAGAATTGAGCATTTCTGATGCGGTGGTGGTAGAAGCCCTGGCTGGGGGCTGGGGAAGAATGCATGCTCCTTGAGAAGGTACAGAACAAGAGTCCCAGAGAGCTCCCCGGGTGCTTTATGAAATCAAAGAGGCTCAAGACACCTCTGCATCAAGGCCAGTTTCAGCACAGTGCTGTTTATACAACAGGCTTTATTGAGATTGTGTCAATACAGTCAATACCATTGTTTTTCTTTTCAAAAAGAAGTCCTATTTTCTTTTAGATTCCCAAGTGCATTTTTCCCGAATCTCCTGTGACACAGGGCACATAATAGGTATGTTGGGAACTAAGCTTCCTATACCAGGTTAGAATGAAATTACTAATGGAAAACATTTAAACCTTAATCTTTAAAAAAAAAAAAAATGAGGAATCAGAATACAAAAATGCACAAGGTAATGTAGTTTTCATTGTTAAAACCCGACATAGTTTATCAAAGCTAATCAGTTAAGTGGACACCGGGAACTAAAATCCCATAAACTTTTTGGAAACACTACCCACCTCTCCCCAAAGGCTTCAGGAATGGCACTTAGCAGAAACTCAGTTCTGTGAAACAGCTCCTTTTGTGTTTTGGCTCCCCGTACCCTCCTCAGGGCCCTGGACTTTACTGGGAGCTGGTGCATTTCCACCCATCAGAGCCCTTCCTGACAGGTCAAATGTCAGTGGCTTTGCCTCAATAAGGATGCTGAGCAGGTTGCCCCCACGAGGTATGATTTAAGACTTAGTTCCCATGGAGCTGATGGATAAGAAGCCCACCAGGAACCCTAGCCCAACCTGCTCTTGAAGTGCCACTTGGGCAGATTTGGGTTTTCTTTTCTCCTTTTGAAAATTAAAACGAGCAGTCAAAGGGTCTGCTTGATTTGGAGAAGTGGGTGGGGAGGAGGCCAGCCCAGAGGCCGGAAGGAGCCACAGCATAATAAGTCGGAAGTCGGTGATCAATCTCCTTCCTCAACACGGCCAGGCAGGGTGAGAGCAGAGCTGCAGCACATCCATGCTGGGTCCTCATCTCAGCGATATCCACTCAGCTTGAACTAGGGGCCAAGGGGAGGGAAGGAGGTCTTGCGTGTTTCCTGCAGTGGGGCGCTCTGATTGGAGAAAATGGCAGTAACGTCCAACTCATCCCAAAGGGGCCTGTTGGCACCCTTTTTCTCAGGGCCTCAGCCTCCTGGGCCCTGAGGAGATTTGAATCAGAGAGTGGAAGGAGAGGAAGACCCTGCAGATTAACCCCTGGAGTTGACGCACACCCACATCTGGCGCTTCCTAAGGAGAAGCGGCCAGGTGCCTTCATCCGCGAGCTTGTGTGAACCTTGTTCTGCAGGTGAACGGGAGGCTCTCGGCCGTGGGGCTACTGGGGGTGGGCTGGCAAGCACCCCTTACGATTTTGTCTGAGTAAAGCGGCTCTCCCTCAGCAGGTGAAAGGAGAGACAGGGAGGAATACTCATGCTTGCTGATTGCCAGCCCTGCTTCGTGCCACCTGTGGGCACCCCAGGGGCCTGGGCGGCTGCCCTCACACTGAGCAAAGTCAAATAGTGGGGGCAGCCTTGGGGATGGAGACGAACGTGAAGAACAGCCATCCTGCTCCAGGCCCACACCCCTACCCCTCACAAACCACCGTTCTCCGTGGCTGCGGCCTGAGCAGTGAGTGGGGGTCAGCAGTGCCCAGGAGCCAGCAGGAGCGGTCACGCACCCGTACCCACCAGGGACAGGCCTGCAGCCACAGCCCCACTGCTAGGGTTGCAGTCCTGACAGGTGTCCACACTGGCCACCACCACGGTCCCCCTCCTCCCCTTTCCCCTGGAGAGAAACAAAAACCCTTCGGGAGATCCATCATCTTAAGCTGGAGGTCCCAGGGCCCCTGGAAGAGCCCCAGCCAAGAACTGAGGGAGGCCACGCCCCATCCCTTGAGCAGGTGCCCTCTGGGGACCAGCAGGCTGGGCAGGGTTTGGGAGTATGTCTCCCCAGGGGAATGGAGGGGGCTGCTCGGTCCCCTCTCACCGCTGACTCACTGAGAAGCAGCCTCCTTCACCGCCTGGCAGAGCCCAGGACTCACAAGGGGGCAGGGGTCTCCACCAGCCGGGCGGAGCGTCCTGGGGCCCTGCCAGGGGGCCAGGCAGGGCAGGATGGGGGCACAACCCCCGCCACCGCACAGACACGTGGGGGAGAGGAACTCAGGCCAGCTTCTTCCAGAAAGAAACCTCAGCCTGCGTGGGGAGAATCCCAGTCAGCCTCCCCAGAGCCGCCTTTGTGCCTGCCTCTGTTCCAGTCTTTGGTTTTTTCTTTAAATGGAGGTTCTTGGTAAGTGAGAAGGTCTCTCTACCACTAAAGAGGAGGAGGCCAGGGCAGCGTGGGTTATGTGGGACACAGCAAGAATCCCGAGAAGGAAGAGTGGATGTACTCGGTGGAGTAGAGGCCGTTGGCCTGGTCCGAGGGCATCTGCACCCAGACCTGGTCGTTGGGCCGCAGCCGCAGCACAGCGCCGCCGGACGCCTGGTCCAGGAAGCCCTTCTTGTACTCGTCGTAGGTGTACGTGGCTGGCACGTTGTTCTTGTAGAGGGCCACCCACACGTTGGTGCCCTTGACGTGCACGTGGTAGGCGAAGTAGTAGACCCCGCCCACGGGGCAGGTGAAGATGCCCGTGGCCGGGTTGTAGCCACTGTGGCCGTTGTAGAGAGTCCGGTCAAACTTGACGGGCATGCCCGAGGCGGGGAAGGGCGAGGTGAGCACAGCGGTGAAGGCGGGCGTGGCATGGGCCGACAGTTCCCCCAGCCCCAGCTGTGGCTTCACCCCCTTGCCCAGCACAGCTCCCTCCACGCCACCGTTGGGCAGGTGCAAGCCGGCGATGCCAGTCTCGTCGAAGGCCCCCGGGGCTCCGGGGGGGCCGGGGGGGCCAGGAGGCCCAGGAGGGCCCGTGAGTCCTGGGGAACCTGGGACCCCAGGAGGCCCTGTTGGCCCAGCCACACCAGGTTCCCCCATTTTCCCCTCTCCAGGGGGCCCCGGCAGGCCTGGCTCACCCTTCAGGCCTGGCAGACCCTGGGGCCCAATAGGGCCAGCCGGACCCTGGAGTCCTGGGATTCCTGAAGGGCCCCTCAGGCCGGGCTGTCCAGGGAGCCCCAAGTCACCCTTCTGCCCCAGGGCTCCTGCCACCCCTGGTCCTCCAGGGCGGCCCATGAAACCTGGCTCACCTTTGGGCCCAGTCGGTCCAGGAGGTCCATGAGACCCTGGAAGCCCCCTCTCTCCTGGGAGCCCAGGTTTCCCAGCCAGGCCACTAGGCCCTTGGTCACCCCGAATGCCAGGCACTCCTGGGGGTCCTATAGGCCCTGTCTCCCCCTTAGGCCCAGGGACCCCACGTCTGCCAGGGAGCCCTGCAGACCCCGGAAGTCCAGGGGGCCCCCCAAGACCCTGTGGGCCCTGTTCCCCTGGCTCCCCATCCTCACCTGGCTCGCCCCTGTCCCCCAAGAGCCCCGGGACCCCAGCTGGACCCCTGTCCCCCTTGGGACCTGGCAGGCCTGGCATCCCATAACCAGTAGGGCCTATCAGGCCAGGGGGGCCCCGGGTCCCTGGCTCCCCTTTGGCTCCTGGTGGGCCCTGTGGCCCTGGCAACCCTGCTAACCCTGGTGCCCCTACACCATCCACCCCAGGGGGCCCCTTTGGGCCCAGAGCCCCAGGCTCCCCCCTGGGTCCTGGCACCCCAGGAGGCCCAGTGTCACCCTTATCTCCAGGGGCCCCAGGAAGCCCATCCAAACCCGGTTTGCCTAAACCAGCTGGACCAGGGAGACCCGGGGGCCCTGGGGCACCCCCCTGCCCTGGGGCTCCAGGTAGCCCTGGCTGGCCCACTCCATTTTCGCCCTTGAGGCCTCGATCACCTGGGGGCCCAGGCTCTCCCTGGGGCCCTGGCTCCCCCCCAAATCCTGGGGGCCCCGGCACCCCCTGGGGGCCTGGCTTTCCAGGGACAGCGATGCCTGAGGGCCCAGGGAGGCCAGGGGGCCCCGGGGGCCCCCGGAGGCCCTGGTCCCCTCGTATCCCTGGCTCCCCCCGAAGCCCCGGCTGCCCTGGAGGTCCAACCTTGCCTGGGAGCCCCGGGGGACCAGCCTTGCCCATCCGGGAGAAGCCAGGGGGCCCGGCGGGGCCAGGCTGCCCGTGGAGCCCAGGTTTTCCGGTGCCTGGTTTTCCTGGGAAGCCAGGAGGGCCGGGGGGGCCCCGTGGTCCAGGCTTTCCAGGGGGTCCAGGCTCTCCTTTCAGATCCATCGGCAAGAGTGGGAGAGGCATTTCTGAGAGAGAAGAAGAGAAGAGGCAGTCAGCGGCCTGGACAGGGAGGCCAGGGGACCCATCTTCCCACTCCCTACCCAGCATGGGGGTGCAACTTGAGAAGTTAGGGTTCTGTACCTGCTCATGAAGACCACCCTGGGCCTCCCTCCCTACTCTCAGGAAAGATGCAATTTAGGGGTGGTCTGGTGGCCGTCTCGGAAGATGCAGGGCATCCACAGCCAGGGCTCCTAGTTCCCAACCTACCCAGGCTGGGCCTCCTTTCCCCAGGAGCCTCTCATCCCTGCGGAGCTGGGGTGGGCTGGCCACCAGGTGGCACCAGCAGCCCTCCTTAGAGCCAATCGGCGCCAGCCCCGTCCTACTTGCCCACAAACCTTCCCGCCCCTCCCCTACCTAAAGACCACCTCCGCCAGCCAGCTCCACCCACTTCCGGGCCCTCTTGGGTGGGAGGCCCTGGACCCGCATCAAGAAGCAAGTGGAGATGGGAAGGTCTTTGTTGGGACGGACGGGCTGTGGCTCACAGGGGCCTAGGAGGAGCCGGTGGAGGTCCAGAGACTGGGAGTGGGGGGTCATGACGGGCCGGGGAGGGGCGGGGCGAGGCGATGCTCACCCAGGTACTGGCCCTTGCCCTCGCGGAACGGCGGCCCCACGGGTCCCTTGTGCATGGGCTGCACGTACTGCACCGGCGGGTACCCCGCTGCCCCGGCGGCCCCACCGCTGGCAGCCGCCCTCGGCCCGCACCCCAGCAGCAGCAACAGGAGCAGCAGAGGCGGTGGCAGCGAAGACAGGGCCGTCAAAACCCCCCGCATGGCGTCCGCGGGCGTGCTGCGGGGAGGAAGGAGAGAGGCCATTAGGCCAGCTCATGGGTGGCTTGGCACCGGGCCCAGGAGCTCACAAAAAGATGGAAATGTAGTTATTGTTCACAAGCAGTTCTCAAAGTCTGCAGAAGTCACTACTAAACCTCTCCTAACCCTGCCCCTGGCTCTCTGTACAGGCAGGGGTGGGGGTGAGGTTCCTGGACAACAGCCTCCCAAACCATTCACTTGGCAGCCAGATGCCCTTCCAGAGCACCTCTGACCTTGGCACAGCCCTGCCAGATACTGTTTGATGATTACACACCCACTACCACGTGCTGGACTGGCTCTCTGCCAGGCATGAGGCTAAGCTCTCCAGCATGGGAGCTCACTTAATCCTCCCAGCACTTTAACGAGGTATTGTTATTGTCATCCGCATTTTCCAGATGACAAAACTAAAGCAAAGGTCTCTAGGAAGCAGCACTGGGATTTGCCTAAGGTCTGTCTGACCTCACATTAAGTCCAGGCCTTTCTGGGGTTCCCCACCATCTTCTGGATCAAGTTCTTTGTGGGAATTCCCTGGCTATCCAGTGGTTAGGACTCAAGGCTCTCACAGCCAGTGGCCCAGGTTCGATCCCTGGTTGGGGAACTAAGATCCCGCAAGCCTCGAGGCCATTAATTAATTACATCTATATGTATGACTTCCCATATATGTATGGGCTTCCCTTGTAGCTCAGCTGGTAAAGAATCTGCCCGCAATGCCGGAGACCTGGGTTCGATCCCTGGGTTGGGAAGATCCCCTGGAGAAGGGAAAGGCTATCCACTCCAGTATTCTGTCCTGGAGAATTCCATGGACTGTATAGTTCATGGGGTTGCAGAGTCGGACACGACTGAGTGACTTTCACTTCACATGCATATGTATGACCGAGTCCCCTCGCCATTCACCTGAAACTATCACATTCTGTTAATTGGCTCTACCCCAATACTTCCCAGGTGGCTTCCCAGGTGGAGCTAGTGGTAAAGAACCTGCCTGCCAATGCAGGAGAGATAAGAGACACAGGTTCTATCCCTGGTAGGGAAGATCCCCTGGAGGAGGGCATGGCAACCCACTCCACTATTCTTGCCGGGAGAATCCTGTGGACAGAGGAGCCTGGTGGGCTACGGTCCATAGGGTCGCAAAGACTCGGACACAACTGAAGAGACTTACATGCATACCCCAGAACAAAATAAAAAGTTTTAAAAAATTATAAGTTAAACAATAATCTTTGTAAAAGTCCTTGATTCCCAACTTGGTGTTCTAATCATCTAATCAGTATCTGTGTCCCCAACTCTACCATCTACCTCCCCTTTCTCTGCCTCTCCCCTCCCCCATACCTTTGCCCCAGTCAGCAGGCAGCCTCACACTTCTCGGCCTTTGCACCAGCTGTCTCTCTGCCTGCAGTGTTCTTCCCCTCACTTACTCATCCTTCAAGACCCAGGGAAGCTGTCACTCCTTCCTCTATAGAGTTAACCCCTCACTCCTGTGTCCTGACCTAGACCTGTCTCAGCATTTAGCTCAGCTCCGAGAACAAGGACTGGGTTAGGAAGAAAAACAGGCTCCAGATTTGGATAGCTAGCCTAAATCCTCCATTCACCAGGGAGCGGAGCCTGAGCAAGAAGTGTCCACGCTGTGAACTCAGTTTTCTCATCTGTAAAATGCAATAACATGTCCACACTAAAACGTGTACATGAATGTTCATATTGGTATTATTCACAACAGCCACAAAGTAGAAACAACAGATGTACATCAACTGATGAAGGGACAGTGTGGAATATTCAGGCTATGGAATATGACTTGGCAATAAAAACAAGTGAAGTACTACTGATAAATGGCGCAATACAGATGAATCTTGAAAACATCACTAAGTGAAGAAGCCAGGCACAAAATCATATAATTCTATTTGTAGGATGTGTTCGGGATAGGTAAATCTATAGAGACAGAAAGTAGTTAAATGAGTGGTTGCCTAGGACTGGGGCGAGTAGACTTGGGGAGTGACTGTTAATAGGTACAGAGTTTCTGTTGGGACCCCCTGGTGGCTCAGACGGTAAAGAATTTGCCTGGAATGCAGAAGCCCCAGGTTCCATCCCTGGGTCAGAAAGATTCCCCTGGAGAAGGGAATGGCTACGCATTCCAGTATTCTTGCCTGGAGAATTCCATGGACAGAGGAGCCTGGCAGGCAATAGTCCATGGGGTGGCAAAGAGTCGGACATGACTGGGTGAATAACACACACACAGGGTTTCTATTAGGGGTGATGAAAATGTTCTAAATTGATTGTGATGATGGTTGCATAATTCTGTGAGTACCTTAAAAAACCGTGGATTCTTACACTTTAAATAAGCCAATTGCATGCTATGTGAACTGTATCTCAATTAAGTTCTTTCTAAAAAACTAGGCTAGGACTTCCCTGATGTCCAGTGGGTGAGATTCTGTGCTTCCACTGCAGGGGCACAGGTTTGATCCCTGATCAAGGAAGTTCTGCATGCTGCAAGGTGTGGCAAAAAATAATGATTAATTTAAAAGCTAGGCTAGGAGATTCCCTGTTGGTCCAGTGGTTAGGACTCTGAGTTTCCAGTGCTGGGGGGCCAGTTTTGATCCCTGTTCGGGGTACTAAGATCTCACAAGCCTGGAGATGTGACCAAAAAAATAAAAAGAATTTTCTTTACAAACTAGGCTAACAACCTGCTTCTCAGGATTGCTGTGGTGAGCAGAGATATCTTGGTACCCCAGGGCGGATACCCGTCAATATCTGCATAGGGGACTAGCCTGACATTTCATACACTCCAGGGAGGTCCCACTTGCCCTGGCATCCCTGCTCTGGGCTCCCCTCACCCGACCCAGGGGCCCTCCAGACCTGTGTGTGGCTGCAGGAAGGTGTGGCAGTGGGCTGTGCACATCCAGGGATGCACATGGGGCTGAGTCTGGAGCTGCAGTGCAGTATTCTTCCAAACTCAGTATCAGGCGGGCTTTGCAGGAATGAATGTGGGGCTCTGGGGCAGGATGGTGAAGCTGCCAACCCAGCTCTGCCATCAACCTCCCTGTAACCTTGGGCAGGTCTTCAGCCTCCCTGAGCCCTGCCACCTGCCACCTAAGGGCTCCTGGGGTTCACATCACTAACCTTCTAAACGACCCCCGACCAGCTCATACAACTACTGTCCCCTATTTTATAGATATAGAAACTGAAGCTTAGACTAAGAATCTTGCCCAGAACACCTGCCCTCAACACAGGCCACCTGCTCTGTCTGCACCGTGACTGGTGCTAGGCCGCCTACTATAGGCCTGGCCCTCAGATAACTGCTCCGGCCAGGCACTGCCCCAAAGTTTGACTTTCTATCCACATTCAGCCCTGCAAGGCTCATCAGCCCTGTTTTACAGGTGAGGAAACCGGAGTGCAGTCAGAGCCTAAACCCAGGCAGTCTGACTCTTAAGCCCCAGCCGCTAACCAGCAGGAAGCAGGAGGAGGGGAGTGAGCAGTTCTGGTCGGAGTGGGCTGGTGGCCGAAATCATGGCACCCCCACAGGAGGACCCAAGACAGCCCTGGCTCTGGGGAGGACTTCCCTGTAGGTCATACGGTAAAGGATTTGCCTACAATGCAGGAGACCTGGGTTCGATCCCTGGGTCAGGAAGACCCTCTGGAGAAGGGAATGGCAACCCACTCCAGTATTCTTGCCTGGGAAATCCCATGGACAGAGGAGCCTGGGGAGCTATAGTCCACGGGGTCTCCAAGAGTCGGACACGACGGAGCGACTAACACTACTACTGCTACTGGGGAGCCTTGGTCCTCTTCCCGCGCTGTGTGAGGCCGCAGGGAGGCGGGGGCTGACGGAGACTCAGCTGGGAGGGCGTCTGGGATGGGGAGAACTGTAGAGGGGCACGGGGCACCAGAGGGAGAGCCCCCCCAGTCCAGGCAGGAGCCCAGGCAGGGCCCCCTGCCAGCTCCCCACCTCTCACCCCTCCTTGGCAAGGCGGGTCTCCAGGAAGCATCCCCGCCCGACGCCCCCGTGGCTCCCTGAACTTGCCCCATTCTGGCACCTCCGGCTCCATGGAGGTGGGGCGGGACCCGAGCAGGTGTTTCCTCTGGAGGGAGGCGTGTCTGAGGGAGGATGACAGCTCACACCTCCGCTGGGGCACCGCCTAAGTGCTGCGTCACAGTGCGCGGTTGATGTAACTCCCACCAGATCCCCGGGCAAGAGGAGCTATAGCGCCTCCTCTTCCTATAGACGAGGAGTCTGCGGCTGGAGACGAGCAGGACGGAGGCGCCGCCCCCTGGCAGCCAGGGTCTGAGCGGAAGTCTGTTAAGAACCTGAGCTCTTAACCGCTGGGACAGGCTGCCTCCAGGGAGAACGTGCCAGAGAGCACAAGCTAGACAGAGAGGCAAGCAGACTGAGAAAGGGAAGCTCTCTTCCAACTCCAAGCTGCCTTGGAGGGTTTGAGGGTTTGAGGAGGGAAAACTTACTCCAGCTCTCAGAGGGGAGGCGGCCATAGCAGTCCAGGTTGGGAGGGTGGGGGTGGGGAGAGAGGGGCTGGGAGTGGAAGTGTCCCCATCACAGGAGAAGGGGGCTGCAAAAAGAACGGATGGCCCTGGCATGGTGCCACATAGCTGCCCAGGTGGGAGGGACTGCCCCCCCATGCCAGCCACCAGCAGAGCGGAGGGTGCCTGGGCGCCCCTGCCTCCTGTTCACTGTCATCCCTTTCCTGCCGCCCCCACCCCCCGGCTCCCCCCGCCGCAGGCTCCCCAGGCTTTCTGGCCGATGCACGCGTTCGTTTCCTTCGGTTCCCCCTACTGTTTGCCCACCTCCTACTCTTACTCATTCTTAGACGTCCGGGAAGCCCATTGGATGCCTCCCCTGGGCTCCACTGACACCTGTGGGTCCCGCTCACAGCTCCGTTTCCCTCTGGCTTTTTTATTCTCTCCCCGCTCCCTGCCCTCCCCTCCATGCCCAACACAGGACTTGGCTGGCACAGTGAGAAACGTGTGATGAACTCAATTTGC